AGGTCAAATATGCTATTGAACCTCGCTAGTGATTTTTTCACTTTAATTGTTGTACTTTTCAATTCTAGATTTCTATTTTTAAATATGTTCTGTCTCCTTATTCATATTCTCTATTAGACAGAACGTTATATTTTTAATTTGAATATATTTATAATATATACTTTGAAAATTTTCTAAATCTGATATCTGAATTCAGACAGTTTCTATTCACTGCTTTTTTTTTCCAGAATATGAGCCATATTTTCCTGTTTCCTTACACATCTAATAATTTTTAATTGAAAACTAAACACTTTAATTATACATTATAGCAAATCTGGATTTGGTTTTTATTTGTGATTGTTTTGTTGTTGTTATTGTTTTGGTAATTGGCCTATACTTGTACTGTGTAATCCTTCTGCCCAGTGGTTTTCAGCAGTGATGTCTTTTATATTGTGTTGTTGTTATTATTATTATTATTTTAGCCTGTCTTTCTAGGAATTTCCTTTGTGTCTGTTGCATAGCTTGATTTTGGAGAGACATGTTAAAGCTAGTAAGGCTTACACTATCTGCCAAATAATCTGTGGGTGGGTGGGTGAATGCATTCAAAGTTGCAATTAATACTCAAGTCTCACTTCATTTTTACTTTTTGTCATACTCTCTTGAGTCTTTCCTACACTTCCATACTTTTCCAATCAGCCATATATGTGTGGAGAACTTATCTCAAACTGTCTATGACTCTCTCCTTTCCAGGATCTCTCATTTTTTTAAGTAATATTCAGGTTTTTAATTTATTATAGTGAAAGGATACAAAGCAAAATTAGCAAAGGGAAAAAGGCGTATGTGGTAAAGTCTGGAGGAAACCAGGCACAAACTTCCCAGAATCACCTCCTGTGGAGTTACAAGGATGTGTTTTTCTTTCCCAGCATGAAATTTTGACAACACATGTGCAATGTCGTCTACCAGGACCAGAGTCTCATTAGAGACTAAGTACTCAGGATTTTATGGACATTACTCTCCTTCACATGTACCAGAATTCCAGACTCCCAGAAGGAAAGCAGCTGTTCAGAGTAAACCACAGTGTTTGTATAAACAATTTAGGCACAGTGAGCCACTCTTCTCAGTGAGAGAATTGGAACTTGGAATTGGGAAACTCTAGCCTTGCATGTGGGTCTTTCTTTTCTTTCTTTCCTCTCTCTCTCTCTCTCTCTCTCTTTCTTTCTTGAATTCCAGGATACATGTACAGAACGTGCAGGTTTGTTACATAGGTATACCTGTGCCATGGTGGTTTGCTGCACCTATTGACCCTCAGGATCTCTCATTTAAATTTTTGTCTTGTCTTCCACTTCCCCAACTGAGACTGCAACTTCAGACTAGTAAAGCTGTGATTCTCTCTGTTCATTCCCAAACCACTCTGCTATATTTAACTGGCAAAACCATTGATTTCTTCCCTCTACTCCATACCAAATCCACTTCTGCCCCCAGCCCTAACAGGAAAGCTGCTGGTTTTTACATCTAGCTTCATACTGGTAAAACTACAGTTTTTCCCAGCTGAGCTTGGGGATGAAAAGAGGGATGGGAGTGTATTAGTCCGTTTTCATTCTGCTGATAAAGACATACCCAAGACTGGGAAGAAAAAGAGGTTTAATTGGACTTATAGTTCCAGATGACTGGGGAGGCCTCAGAATCATGGTGGGAGGTGAAAGGCACTTCTTACATGGTGGCGGCAAGAGGAAGATGCAAAAGCAGAAACCCCTGATAAAGCCATCAGATCTTGTGAGGCTTATTCACTACCATGAGAACAGTATGGGGGGAACCACCCCCGTGATTCAATTATCTCCCACCAGGTCCCTCCCACAACACATGGGAATTATGGGAGTACAATTCAAGATGAGATTTGGGTGGGGACACAGAGCCAAACCACATTAGGGAGCATCCCCAGTCAGGAAGGGCTCAGACTTTTACCAATCCTACCAAAAACCCTAACACTTTAAGAATAAATGCTCTTAATTTGATAACTGTCTTTGATGAGTTTTCCGGGTACTAAAATGATTGTTTTTGGTATTTTGTGCAATTTTAGGGGGGAGTTTTGGTGTGGAAATAAATTGCCAACCTTTTCATGTCACCTCACAGCCTTATCTTTATATCTTCTGATTAACAATTTTCATTATTAATGTGTTACACAACCAATACTTGTTTAGACTAACCTACATTTTACCGATTACTTTGCACATTGATCCTTCCTTTTTGGTTCTATGTTATATTTCTAAAGCATATCTCTCAGTAGATTTTTCCCCAGTAAAAAATGGCATATGTTCTTAAATGTATTTGTTTGACAATATCTTTCATTTGTCTTTTGTTTGAGTGACAGTTAACTGGCTACAGAATTCAACATTGAATGACTTCTTTATCTCTGTACTTTGAAGATTTTAATTATCTTCCATCTTCTATTGTTGCTATTAAGAATTGAGAATCTGCTTTATTGTTTATTTCATTATGATTAATCTCTTTCTCTGTCTAGATTCTTTAAGATTTTATTTTTGCCTTTGGTAGTCTATAGTTTCTCAACATTTTATCTAAGTGTGTACTTTTACTTAATCCTGATTAGAACTCATTTGACTTCCTGTGTCCAAATCAATAAAAACCTTAATCAATTCTGTAAAATTTGAAGCCAGTTTTCTTCTCAAATATTGTATCTTCTTCATTCTTTCAATTATGTTTCTGAAACTACTATTAGTTGTGTTTTAGATATTTTCCATCATCTAAATCTCTCATTTTCCACCTCATTTTTTTATGCTATGCTCTTAAGTAATTTCCTCATATCTACCACTTTGCTGTGTTCTCCTTCAGCCATGTCTAGACTGCTATTTGGGGTACTTAGTGGGGTTTTTTAGTTGAGTAACTTTTAAAGTTTTTTCTAGATGTTCTATTTAATTATTTTGCAATACTTTCAAGTAGTTTTTTCTTCTCTTGTCTCCAATTTTTAAAAAATTGTCTCTAGTCACTTTGAAAATACATATTTTATAGTGTCTATCTAGTGGTTCTATTAGCTGAGGTTTTTAGACATCTAATCCCATTCTTTGTTGTATCTGTTAACTTTTGCTCATGGGATATTTCTTCTTATTTTATTTTAAGTTCAGATTCACTTGGTTTTACCTTTGAGACTTTATGCGGTCTGGGATCAGGAGTGTCTATTAGAGATTTTTTGAATTAGCATCTACCAAGTGTTCTAGGGATACTTCTATGCAGGGACACTTTTATGGTAGGTTTAGAACTTTGGGATCCCTAACCTGTACATGTAATGTAAATTTGAGCCCTACACATAAGTTGGATGAGGCCAGTGTTGCATATGAATTCTCAAAAAAGACTTTGCCACCCAGAGACCAGCTAAGACAAACTGCCTTGTCTTCTCAGTTTGTCAGTAGGATGACATTTTCTGGTCCATTCTTTTTTCTTCTTCTTCTTCTTTTTCTTGAGATGGAGTTTTGCTCTTGTTGCCCAGGCTGGAGTGAAGTGGCGCCATCTCAGCTCACTACAATGTCCACCTCTTGGGTTCAAGCGATTCTCCTGCCTCAGCCTCCCAAGTAGCTGGGATTACAGGCATGCGCCACCAGGCCAGGCTAATTTTTTGTATTTTTAGTAGAGACGGCATTTCACCATGTTGGTAAGGCTCATCTTGAACTCCTGACCTCAGGTGATCCACCTGCCTCTGCCTCCCAAAGTGCTGGGATCACAGGCATGAACCACCGCGCCCAGCCTCATCCGTTCTTTTAGTAAGAGTTTAGCCCTCCAAGGCTTCCAGTTTTGCAGGATGACAATAATCAGAAGGGAGCGGGGAAAGAAATTTTGTTCTAACTTTCTGCCTGGAGTAAGTAAAAATCCTCCTCTTTTACCCTGGCAAATTCTATACAGCCAGAAAGGGGTCATAGCTAAAAAATGCCTGTAAGTTGTTTTAAAAACATTAAAAGCATTACCTACTATGATTCATGGCAAATGATTTAATTAGCATGTGGAAATTTACCATGTTATTATCTGCCCTTTACAGAAACCTATGGATTCCTCTGTGAGTAGCACCTAGTTGCCAGAAACAAGATGTCTAGTAACTTCTACCTACTCATCTTATCTACCTCTACTTCCTACACATAATATAAGATACTTTATATTTATTCCCACAAAGTCTAGGTTCATTTCTTCTAGCCATTACCTTCTCTAATACATTTATGCCAAATATCAATTGAATTATCCTTTCAATACAAAGATTTAGTAGGTTCCTGTTAAAAGATTTGGCACCCTGACACTGTGATCTTCAATAACGTTGTGAATTCTTATCACAGACAATCATCCTCTTATTTTCCATCCTGATGAAAAAGCTATTTTAAAATACAAAATGAAGTAAATCTCATCATATTGCCATGATGTTCTTAACTATGATATATTATAATGGTTAGCATTTTCGAGAGTTCACATACAGGTTTTTTTTTATTCTTTTATTGAGACTGAGTCTCGCTCTGTCACCCAGGCTAGAGTGCAGTGGCGCAGTCTTGGCTCACTGCAGCCTCCGCCTCCTGGGTTCAGGCGATTCTCCTGACTCAGCCTCCCATATAGCTGGGATTACAGGCACGCACCACCGCATACAGCTAATTTTTGTATTTTTAGTAGAGATGGGGTTTCACTGTGTTGGCCAGGCTGGTCTCAAACTCCTGACCTCACGTGATCCAGCCTGCCTCAGCCTCCCAAAGTGCTGAGATTAAGGCGTGAACCACTGCACCTGGCCCAGATACAGGTTTTAAATATTTTTAAAGTAAAAACACTTTGTTTAAAACCTATCTCATAAATTGACAGGTTATTTGGAATATATGTTAAGCAGATACCTCTTTCCACCAAACTAGGAAGCAACGTTGATCTATACCATGTATCATTTTATAGAACTGGTTATTAGTATATATGATAAAAGATAATTGATCCTTTGTTTGTATATATCTATGTGTATGTAGATATATAGCTGTACTTTTTTTGTATTTCAGGAGTTATACTCTTTGTGATATGGTGTACGACCTGGTCAGTCTTAGGCTCTGAAGCTCTCCCTGGTGGAAATTTATTTGGATTGTTAATTATTTTTTATAGTGCCATTATTGGGGGAAAGATTTTACAACTCATTAGAATACCTTTAGTGCCTCCACTTCCACCTCTTCTTGGTAAGTATATAATTAGTTCTCTTTTCTTTATTATTGACTGTATGCAAATTTTGAATATTTTCTTGTTGAATTAGATATAATTCAGAAACATTTCAATGTAGTGTGTTTTATATAGTTTCTTCATATATGTATTTACTGTATGTGTGTGTGTGTATTTATTTTTCTCTCTGTCTACATATATACACACACAAGTTTTATCCAAAATTTATTTTTAAAATAAATTTAATATCCTCAGTATATTATTCCTGTTGCTTTATTGTTTAATAGAATCTTTAAAAATCTTAGATTCAAGGGGTACATGTGCAGGTTTGATACCTGGATATATTGCATAATGGTGAGGTTTGGGCTCTAGTGAACCCATCACCAAATAGGGAATACTATACCCAACAGGTAATTTTTCAACCTTAACCCTCCAACCCTCTCTCCTTTTGGACTCCCCAGTGTCTATTATTTCCATCTTTATGTCCATATGTACCCATTGTTTAGCTCCCACATATAAGTGAGAACATGTGGTATTTGATTTTTCTGTTTTTGAGTTATTTCACTTAGGATAATGATGTTCAGCTCTATCCATGTTGCTGCAAAGGAGATGATGTCATTCTTTTTTATGACTGCATAGTATTCCATGGTGTATATGTACCACATTTTCTTTATTTAGTCATTTAAGTTGATTCCATGTCTTTTTATTGTGAATAGTGCTACAGTGAACATATGTGTGTATGTGTCTTTGCAGAAGAATGATTCACACATTGAACCATCCTTGTATTTCTGGAGTAAAACCCACTTAACTGCATTATCTTTTTGATGTACTATTGAATTCATTTTGCTAGTTGAGAATTTTTGCATCTACGTTCATCAGCAATATTGGCCAGTAGTGTGGTGTGTGTGTGTGTGTGTGTGTGTGTGTCTTTGCCTGATTTTGGTATAATTGTGATACTAGATTCATAGAATGTGTTAGGGAGGAATCCCTCCTTGATTTTTTGGAATAAGTCTCAGTCACCTGTGACCCTGAACTAGAATAAGTGGATTTTACAATGAATAAATGAATGAATACAAATTATTGTAAAACAAAATTTTGTTAAGTATATGATAACCATACAAATGCATGACAATAAACAATGTGATATGAAAGCTCTCAGCCAGCCTACCATATTTGTGATTGTTTTTGAACTGCATAGTGGGAGGAGGTGCTCCTTACAATTTTCACTTTGTAAGCATTTATTCTTTGATTTTAACCATCACCACTATAACCATCATCACTTGTGGATTCACCAAAAATTAGGTAAATAATTATCTTATTTGTTTTTATAAAACTCTAAGATGTATGTAGAGCTCATATTTCTTTCATTGTTTAATACTAGAAGTGTTTTTGGATCTTTATTTAGAAGTTTGGTGATGTTTTGTGACCAAAAATATGCTATAGGAAATTGACTCTTGTTTATATCATTTAGCCTATGCTAAAATTGGTTTTGTTATATACCATTTTACTCAAAGTTGCCATTTCCAATAACCTATAGACAATGTTAAGTGAGAACTTACTGTATTCAAATATATCTAAATATTCAGTACAGTGGGCCAGGCACGGTGACTCATGCCCATAATCGCAGCAATTTGGGAGGCCAAGGCAGGAGGATCGCCTGAGCCCAGGAGTTCAAAACCAGCCTGGGCAAAATAGCAGACCTCGTCTTTATAAAATATTAAAAATTTTTCTGGGTCTCAGCTACTCAGGAGGCTAAGGCAAGAAGATCACTTGAGCTCAGGAGGTTAAGCCTACAGTGAGCCATGTTTGCATCACTGCACTCAGCTTGGACAACAGAATGAGACCCTGTCCCAAAAAAATAAATATATATTCAGTACATTGTCAGCAGATATAATCTCTACATCTTACCTCTGCTGTCGCTTCTGTATCCACAATTTTCTTGCAGCACCTTCTAAGTATTTATTGAATCATTTTCCTCCTCTCCAAACTTTCTCTTTTGCTCTAGCTTAGGCTATTTGTTTCCAACTTTTGCGTGGACTGTGGCAGAGCCTTCAAATTGGTCTCTGTCTCCAGTTTTATCCCTAACTAATTCACCAAGACCCTCACATAAAAAAACACCAGACTCATTGTTACTTTCTGCCTAAAACCTTCCCGTGGTACCTTACTTTGCCAAAGTTGGGGGAGACCTTTCTATGATCTGGCCCACCAAGCTCATTCTCCTCCCTCTTTTCCTTGCCGTGTATGTTCCAGCAACACTAAATTACTTGTTGAACCCCATTTAGATGTATGGTTTCTTATCGCCATGGCTTTATTCATGCTGCCTTCTCTACTTGCTTGTAACCTGCACTTTACCAACATAATGAGAGACATAGTACATTAGAAAAGAAAGTAAATGTTTCTGTTTTCTTTCTCAGAAAAATGAACTGTCATGTATCTTTATTTTCTTTCTTTTAAGGGATGTTACTGGCTGGTTTTACAATTAGGAATGTTCCATTCATCAGTAAACATGTCCATGTTCATAACACGTGGTCTTCAATTTTAAGAAGCACTGCCCTTACCGTTATTCTAATACGAGCTGGGCTTGGACTCGATCCACAGGTAGATTTACAATTACAAATTGAGTAAGGTTATTTCAAATATTAGAGGATGGTGAGAAACAAAAGAAGCAAAAATTTTATTTACCTGTTCCAAGTGGAGTCTGTAAACAAACTTAAGATAAAGAAAAAAAGACCAGGCATGGTGACTCACGCCTGTAATCTACAAAAATCAGTCAGGCGTGGTGGCATGCACCTGTAATCCCAGCTACTAGAGAGGCTGAGGCAAGGGAATTGCTTGAACCTGAGCGACGGAGATTGCAGTGAGCCAAGATAGTGCCACTGCACTCCAGCCTGGGGACACAGCAAGACTCCGTCTCAAAAAAGCAAAACAAAACAGACAAACAAACAAAGAAAAAAAAAAGAAGAAGAAAAAAGACTGTGTAGAAATATTGGCACCTTAATTTCTAATAAATAGCCATCATTATCACTGATATGAAGGGAACTGACTGTGTTGTAAAGTCTTTATTAGCAATCACCTGTAATCATTTGCACAGAGATAAATGTCTCTTATGTAGCACCTATATTATTTGGGAGGCTCTTCTATGGAGAACTATGTACTCTTCAGTTAACAGGATAAGAAAAGCCTTATAAAAGTCTTTTTCTTTTTTTAGGGAGATTAAGGATTTCAGTAACTTTTTTATGATGTTTTCTCCACAGGATTATGTTCCTGATTATCTCTGCATTATTGTAAAATCTAACCTTTTAAAGCATTTCTTTAAATATTACAATCTAGGGATCATAAATCCCATCTTTAAGATGACTATTCATGAATATGACAGCTACTCAAATAAATGTGGCAAATGTGGTTTAATAGAAATAGCTCAAGAGCATAAATAATTATAGCCATTGAGATTATATTCTCCAGTTGAAAGTATGAACCAAGGAGAAAATTGAAAAGTTCTCCCTTTTAAAATGAAGTATGCAGTTTTTAAGTTATTTTCTTTGGCATGTTGGCATTCTATTTATAATTATTAAGTTAATCAAACAGTTCATATCAAAAAATTAACTAATGGGAAAACACTAATAGGACACTATTTATACTATTTATTAGGAAAGTTCAGGAAGGTAGCAACAGCTATTTAATCACAGTAAAATTCATCTTTTAATAATTAAAATGCAATAATATTTTATAAAAGATGAAATTGTTTATAATCCAACCTATGATGACATATAAAATGTAATAGAGTTCCAAGTCCAGTGGGACAATCTGTTCAAATGAGATTTTGTTTAGTGAAAGCTTCTTATGAAAAAAGACTTTATAGTTCAATATTTCTTTAAATAATTTTCTTGTTGGCCATTGTAAATGTACCTAAGTGTGACTGTTTTGTATTTCAGGCTTTGAGACACTTGAAGGTGGTTTGTTTCAGATTGGCTGTAGGTCCATGCCTTATGGAAGCTAGTGCAGCTGCTGTTTTTTCCCACTTCATTATGAAATTTCCCTGGGAATGGGCATTTCTATTAGGGTAATTTCTTTCTCATTTTTTCTTATGAAAATATTCAATTAAGGATGCTTGTTTAAAACTGTTAAAATATTCAGAATGTTGTATAGAAAATCTCTATTAAAATTCTTTTCACAGTATTGGAAACCTTGGAAAACAGTTGATTAAAAGCAGAGCCATGTCCCAAATTGTATGAAATTTTTAACAAACATTCATAGCCCCTAAATGTTTATCATCAAGAAAATTCACATGATCAATTTATTCCTTTTCATCTGTATTATAACATATCTGTATGTTTTAATCTATCTAATGGCCTCTTCCTCATAGCTATATGTAAATACAGTTGCACATTTTATACATATGTATGTGTGTATGTATAATTTGAGAAGCATTTTATATAGACATAGGTTTATAAATATAAACTCTCCCATTTTAAAGCAAGCAAGCAAACAAACAAAAACTCTTGCCGTATGTCCAATGCCCCATCCATCTTTATCTACCATCCATTTACCTGATGTTTGAATTCCTCAAAATAAGTCTGTAACTACTGTCTCTAGATCCTAACTCCTTTTCATTTCTTAAATCATCAACTTTTGTCTCTGCTTCTCCATTCCAATGACATTCATAGCAAAATTCATCCATTATATAGTTACTACAAAATCTAGTGAATTTTTAAATTAATGTTTATGATAAAATACCCAAATGCACTTTTATTTTAAAAATTAGAACTTTATAAATAAAGGAGGAATGACCTTTGACTATGCCTTCAAATCATAATGCCCATAACTCTACCCAAAGCGAGAACTCTTAGGAGTTTTTTTCTTCTCCAATTTTTATTTTGGCTCAAGGGGTACATGAACAGGTTTGTTATATTGATAAATTGCATGTTACAGGGGTTTGGTATGCAGATTATTTTGTCACCCAGGTAATAAGTATAATACCCAATAGGTAGTTTTTCTATTCTCACCCTCCTTCTACCCTCCATCCTCAAATTCACCTAGTGACGATTGTTCCTTTCTTTCTGTCCATGTGTACTCAGTGTTTAGCTCCCACTTGTAAGTGAGAATATGGGATATTTGGTTTCCCATTCCTGTGTTAATTCACTTAGGATAATGGCCTCAACTCCATCCACTTTGCTCCAAAGGACATGATCTTGTACTTTCTTGTGACTGTGTATTATTCTATGGTATATATGTGCCACATTTTCTTTATCCAGTTCACCATTGATAGGCATTTAGGTTGATCTCATGTCTTTTTTTTTTCCAATAGTTTTTAAGGAATAGGTGATGTTTGGTTACATGGAAAATATTTTTAGTGGTAATTTCTGAGATTTTGGTGCACCCATCACCAGAGCAGTGTACACTGCACCCAAGGTGTAGTCTTTATCCCTCACCCCCCTCCTAACCTTCCCACTAAGTCCCCAAAGTCCATTGTATCATTATTATGCTTTTGCATCCTCATAGCATAACTCTCACTTGTAAGTCAGAACATACAATGTCTGGTTTTTTTCATTCCTGAATTACTTCACTTAGAATAATAGTCTCTGATTCCTTCCAAGTTGCTGGGAATGCAATTATTTCATTCCTTTTTATGGCTGAGTAGTATTCCAGTATGACTGAGTAGTATATATATACACACACACACCACATTTTCTCTATGCATTCATTGATTGATGGGCATTTGAGCTAGTTCCATATTTTTCACAATTGCAAATTGTGCTGCAATAAACGTGTGTGCAAGTGTTTTTTTCATATAATGACTTCTTTTCCTCTGGGTAGATACCCAGTATTGTGACTGCTAGATCAAATGGTAGGTCTACTTTTAATTATTTAAGAAATCTTCATACTCTTTTCCATTGTGGTTGGACTAGTTTACATTCCCCCGAGCAGTGTAAAAGTGTTCCCTTTTTACCACATCCATGGCAACATCTATTATTTTTATTTTCTGATTATGGCTATTCTTGGAAGAGTGAGATGGTATCACGTTGTGGTTTTGTTTGCATTTCCCTGATAATTACTGACATTGAGGATTTTTTCATGTTTCTTGGCCATTTGTGTATCTTCTTTTGGAAAGTGTCTATTCATGTCCTTAGCCTGCTTTTTGATAGGATAATTTGTTTTTTTCTTGCTGATTTGTTTGAGTTCCTTTTAGATTCTGGATATTAGTACTTTGTTGGATGCATAGTTTGTAAAGATTTTCTCCCACTCTATAGGTTGTCTTTTTACTTCTGCTGATTATTTCTTTTGCTGTGCAGAAGCTTCTTAGTGTAATTAAGTCCCATCTATTTATCTTTGTTTTTGTTGCCTTTGCTTTTGCATTCTTGGTCATGAAGTCTCTGCCTAAGCCAATGTCTAGAAGGGTATTTCCAAGGTTACTTTCTAGAATTTTTATAGTTTCAGGTGTTAGATTTAAGTCTTTGATCCATCTTGAGTTGATTTTTGTATAAGGTGAGAGATGAGGATCCAGTTTTATTCTTCTACATATAGCTAGCCAATTATCCCAGCACCTTTTGTTGAATAGGGTGTCCTTTCTCAACTTAATGTTTTTGTTTCCTTTGTTAAAGATCAGTTGGCTTAAGTATTTGGTTTTATTTCTCAGTTCTCTATTCTGTTCCATTGGTCTATGTGCCTATTTTTATACCAGTATTATGTTGTTTTGGTGACTGTAGCCTTATAGTATAGTTTGAAGTCAAGTAATATGATGTATCCACGTTTGTTCTTTTTGCTTAGTCTTGCTTTGGTTATGCAGGCTATTTTTGGGTTCTGCATGAATTTTAGGATTGCTTTTTCTAGTTCAGGGAAGAATGATGATATAGACTGCTTTTGGCAGTAAGGTCATTTTCACAATATTGATTCTACCTATCCATGAGCATGTGATGTGTTTCTATTTGCGTAATCTATGATTTCTTTGTACAGTGTTTTGTAGTTTTCACTGTAGAGGTCTTTCACCTCCTTGGTTAGGTATATTCCTAAGTTTGTTTGCCTAGGGTTTTTTTCTTTTTTCTTTTTTCTTTTTTTTTTTTTTTTGTTCATTTGTTTGTTTTACAGCTATTGTAAAAGGGGTTGAGATCTTGATTTAATTATCAGCTCAGTCACCATTGGTGTATACCAGTGCTACTGATTTGTGTACGTTGATTTTGTATACTGAAACTTTACTGAATTCATTTATCAGATCTAGGAGCTTTTTGGATGAGTCTTTAGGGATTTCTCATTATGTGATCATATCATCACGAACAGCAACAGTTTTACTTCCTCTTTACTGATTTGGATGCCCTTTATTTCTTTCTCTTGTCCGATTGCTCTGGCTAGGACTTCCAGTACTATGTTGAATAGAAGTGGTGAAAGTGGGCATCCTTGTCTTGTTCCAGTTCTCAGGGGAATGCTTTCAACTTTTCCCCGTTCAGTATAATGTTGGCTGTGGGTTTTTCATAGATAGCTTTTATGACCTTAAGGTATGTCCCTTCTATGCCAGCTTTGCTGAGGGTTTTAATCATAAAGGGATGGTGGATTTTGTCAAATGCTTTTCTGCATCTATTAAGGTGATTATGTGGTTTTTGTGTGTTTTTTATTTGTGTTAGTTTTTCTTTCTTTTTTTTTGTTTGTTTTTATTGTTTGTTTGTTTGTTTGTTTGTTTTTTGTTTGTTTGTTTTGAGATGGGGTCTTGCTCTCTTGTGCAGGCTGGAGTACAATGGCCCAATCTCAACTCACTCAACCTCTGCCTCCCAGGTTCAAGCAATTCTTGTGCCTCAGCCTTCCAAAGACCTGGGAGTAGCTCACCAAGCTTGACAGCATCTATTTCTTTTTGACTTTTTAATAATAGCCATTCTACCTCCAGTGAGAGTGTATCTCATTGTAGTTTTGTTTTGCATTTCTCTAATGATTAGTGATGTTGAATATTTTTCCATATAAGTGTTGACTTTGTGTTTGTCTTCTTTTGAGAAGTGTCTGGTCCTGTCCTTTGCCCATTTCATGGGGTTGTTAGGTTTTTGCTTGTTGATTTTTCTAAGTTCTTTTTGGATTCTGGATATTAGACTTTTGTCGAATGAATGGTTTGCAAATATTTTCTCCCATTCCATAGGTTGTTTGTTGATGATTTCTTTTGCTGTGCAGAAGCTCTTTAGTTTAATTAGGTGACATTTGTCAATTTTTGTTTTTGTTGCAATTGCTTTTGGCATCTTTGTCATAAAGCGTTTTCCAGAATTGAAATTTCCTAGGATATGTCCAGAACAGCCTGTGTCCAGAATGGTATTTCTTAGGATGTCTTCCAGAATTTTTATAGTTGTGGGTTTTACATTTAAGTTTTTAATCTATCTTGAGTTGATTTTAGTAAACAGTGAAACATATGGAGTCCAGTTTCAATTTTCTGCATATGGCTCGCCAGTTATCCCAGCACAATTTCCGAGTAGGGATTCCTTTCCCCATTGCTTGTTTTTGTCAAGTTTGTTGAAGAGTAGATGGCTATAGGTGTGCAGCTTTATTTCTGCATTCTGTAACCTGTTCCACTGGTCTATGTCTGTTTTTGTTCCAGTACCATGCTGTTTTGGTTACTGTATCATTGTACTGCAGTTGGAAGTCAGGTAGTGTGATGCTTTCAGCTTTGTTCTTTTTGCTTAGGATTTCTTTGGCTATTTGGGCTTTTTTTTTTTTTTTTTTTTTGGCTCCAAATGAATTTTAGAATGCTTTTTTTAATCCTGTGAAAAATGTCATTGGTAGTACAATAAGAATAGCATTTACTCTGTAAATAGCCTTGGGCAGTATGGCCATTTTAACAGTATTGTTTCTTCCTATCTGTGATCATGGAATGTTTTCCTTTTGTTTGTGTTGTCTCTGATTTCTTCGAGCACTTGTTTGTAATTTTCATTGTAGAGATATTTCACCTCACTCCTTAGCTGTATTCCAAGGTATTTTGTGGTTTTTTGTGGCTGTTGTGAATGGGATTGCATTCTTGATTTGGCTCTCAGCTTGGATGTTGTCGGTGTGTAGAAATGCTACAGATTTTTGTACATTGATTTTTGTATCCTGAAA